TGCGTAAGGCTTCCTCTCGTGTATAGATAGAGAGGGACGGGGAAGAGCAACTCTAAAACCCAGGAGAAACGTTAGCTGTAGACTACACTGCTGTATGTTCCTGCTGTCTTTTTTCAAAAAGAAAACTCGCTCGTCAAAAGTATGCAGCATGGAACATGCAGTGATACAGCAATATGTACAGCAGTACTGCTTGTAGTATGCAATGCGTACAGCAGCAGTCATTGTATGGGAACAACGCTGAGGAACTAACTGTGACGCTGACTACCGTACAGCAGTAGTAACAGTTAAACCAAAAACATGCCTGCACCACTAGAACAAAGCACATGCCTCGTCGGGAGCCAATGCAGATTGCCGTATCCCGCAATGATGCAACAGCAGTCGACACATGCTGCTCATGTGCAAGATATTGTGTGTGTAGGTGATGACCACAGAGCCGTCTCAGTACCGTAGTCGAGAGGTGGATTAGGCCGGCAATCTGACCAGTTTGTCGAGAACATGCGTCCCCCGTCGTAGGTTGCTAATTATGTGCTGGCGATTGTAAGCATGCCCCCTTTGACACTCGTTCGTATGCATATGAACTACACATGCTCATCCTGCAAAATGTATCTGCGTGTCGCTCGGAAACCCCACAGCACTGCGCTCGCCACTCAACGGCGCATAGCTGTGGAGGTCCGCGTTGCGGTGGCGGTGAGGATCCTGGCTGGCGCCAGTTACTGGGATGTTGCCCTCATGTTTGGCTTGTCGGTGTCGGCCACGTACAACATCTTGTGGGAGGTGATCGATGCCATCAACAACACGCCTGCGGTTGGGGCATTTGACTCCCCCTGACCAGGGAAGGTTGCATGCGAAACGCCAACGGATTCAAGGTGAGGCCTAACGGTGGCCAGTACTGCTGCTGTGGGTTATTCTTGGCGGCATTCTTTCGACCAACCGCGGGATATCGTGTAGGTTTTTTTTCTTCTGGTGTTTCCAGCCGTTTTTGTGTAGGGAGGCCAATCTATACGCAGCCCTCGTCGGTAAAATAAATGTCGTCCTCTGCGCGTACAAGTTCGGGCTGTCATCGTTGTCAGCATGCTTCGAATAGAAAAACAACTCCCGAGTCCCAGGTGGTTGGCCAGGTTTTGGTCTGTCCTTTACAAATATATGTTACTGACATCAATTGTGCATGCTGGCCATGTTGGTTCGACCCTGCAACAGCAGTGGCCCGGCAACAGCTTTTAGCGAGACAAGAGTGTGGAATCCAATGTGTTGTAGCCACCTCCTTGGCTCTAAGATGCCTTGGTACCTTTTTACCGCTGAACCTGACGCAGTATTAGGATTAGCGAACAACTCAAGTCTCAGTTTACACGGTATGCGTACCTTTGCTGGTGATGGCGCCGTCGCCGATGACATCAACCCACACAACGTACAGCCGAACACTGTTTCCATTTTTGGTCAACGTATCTCTCGACTTATTTTGTATCCCTTCCCGGCACTGCTACTTTCCCGCCCTCCTGTCTGCCGTCTACAAATGCAGGAGAAGAGCACCGATGGCATTTTTTCCTGGGTCGTCGCCGCCATGGATGGTCTGTTCATCAAGGCCAAGGCTCCGTGTGCGAGAGAAACCGCCAACGTCCTAGCGTACTACTCTGGCAGCAAGTCCGCGTACGGCATCAACGTACAAGCGATGTGCACCGCCGACTACCGGTTCTGCGCAATGTCGGCGATCTCTCCAGGCTCCACCAACGACTGGGTGGCATGGAATCGATCTTCCCTCGCCAAGGCCGTCACCCGCTTGCCCGCCGGATTTCACATCATTGGTGACGCCGCCTACCCCATCGGAGAAAAGCTTCTGACTCCGTACCCTGGGAGGCAACTGCCGGCGGGCGAGGACTCGTTCAACTTCCACCTGAGCCAGCTTCGTGTCAAGATCGAGCAGAGCTTCGGCATCCTGGTTTCGACTTGGGGCATTCTGTGGAGACCTCTCCGCGTGCAGTTCCCAGGACGCGCGGATCTCATCACGGCTCTATTTCATCTGCACAACTTCCTGCAAGACGAGAAGGTAGCGCCGATCCAGCTTGCAGAGGAGGACTCCCGCAGCGGACGCGGCCGGCCGGCCCTCTGTGCTGCCCAGCGCACCTTGACGGATGCCTGGCAAACGGAGCCGGTTCCTTCGAGGAGCGGTGAGACCCCAGCCCGACCGGCTATCCGCCAGGCCCTGGAGTTGAAGAAGCAGAAGAACGTATCCAGCTCCGGCGGCATCGCGTCGCGTGCGCACGAGGGGGAAGTCGGGACGGGTCTATATAGGTGCGGACGGAGGCGAATGGAGGCGGGCAAGAAGCGCGGCGGGGGGTAAGGGAGGGGGGGGGTGCACGGGGAGGCTATTCTGGCGTCGTGGGTACACTAAGAGGGCGGGTTAGGGTTAGGGGCTACATCAGCGGATGGCGGCACAAGTAGGCTCGCTTCCACGAGGTGGCGGGTCTCGCTTCCACGGTAGCACGAGACGCGCGGGAGGGACGGTTGCGGCGCGGGAGACGGGGGTGCGGGAGGGGGGCACCTCGTTGAGGAGGGCAGAGGGCGCTGGATGGACGCGTTTTGGTGTTGGTGCTAGGTTGTCGGCGCATCCAGGGGAGAGGTGGGGGTGGCATGTTGATTATCGCTGACATGTTTTGTGGGTGTCGGTGTGAAGCGTTCTGGCCAAGAGTTTCCGGGTACACGTGGTTCGTAATGTGCCGGTGCGTGGGTCTTGGTTGTGTGTGTTTTGGTGCCGGCAACAATTTAGGGTTGACATAGATCTTGTGCGGATGAGAGCGGGGCCCGGTAGGTCTCGGAGGGTGCTTGTTTTGGGTAGTGCATGAAACGTGTAGGCATGTTCGTCTTTTTCCCCCCAATTCGGAATGTATGAATCGTAAGCGTTGTGGTCGTCGACACGATTACTGTCTATATTAAATTGGCATTGCAGCACGCCAGACGATACCGCGATGGTCCAAAAAAACTCTGTGTGGTATGTATCGTACAATGTAAGGTTCATCGCGTGGGTGAAAAATTGCTCCAGGTTGCAAACCTGAAGGAGACGGACACACCCCCATCAAAAATTGCGGTCTTGTCGAGTGCCATTGCCAACACATTCCTGCGCTTGAAGTGAGCATGCGTGGAGACGGCATAAATTGCAGGGCTCCAAAACTGTGGAACCCAAGGCGTGTCTCAGATTTTCCGCCTCATCCCAATGTAGTATTGGGTTGCAAGAACAAGTCTTGCAAATAGGTAAACACCACACGACATGTATGCACGCAGGTTGCCGGCACAGCAGGTTGCCCGTGAACCACAACGGTTTCAGCGTTCTTCAAAAATGTTATCCTTGATACTCCTTTGTTGCCGCAAGGCATCCTCTCAATTGTTGTTGCCAACCAAGCACACACGTCTTTACGGAGGCGCACGTATCCTCAGTGCTCGTGCTACGAAGAACGAAGGCGATTCACCCATGCCCCAAAGAAAAACAGTCCCCCCCCCTCCGAAACTGCAAGAAAAACAAAATGCGACGGCCCTCGCAGAAACAAGCCTTGCCGAGAGAGTGAGAACAAAAAGACACCCTCGCGTTCGTTACTGCCGGCACAGCAGGTTGCCCGTGAACCGCTATGTTCTCGGCATTCTTCAATCGCATTTCATCCTTGATACTCCTTTGTTGCCGTGAGGCATCCTCTCAATTGTTGTTGCCAACCAAACCAACACGTCTTTACGGAGGCGCACGTATCCTCAGTGCTTGTGCTACGAAAAACGAAGGCGACTCACCCATGCCCCAAAGAAAAACAGTTCCCCCCCCTCCGAAACCGCAGGAAAAAAAAAATGCGACGGCCCTCGCAGAAACAAGCCTTGCCGAGAGAGTGAGAACAAAAAGACACCCTCGCGTTCGTTTACTGCCGGCACAGCAGCTTGCCCGTGAACCGCTTTGTTCTCGGCGTTCTTCAATCACATGTCATCCTTGATACTCCTTTGTTGCCGTGAGGCATCCTCTCAATTGTTGTTGCCAACCAAACCAACACGTCTTTACGGAGGAGCACGTATCCTCGGTGCTTAATGCTACGAAAAACGAAGGCGACTCACTCATGCATAACAGGAGCACACACCCCTTTTCTTCCACTGCGACGATTGCACGAAAGAAAGTGCAGCAGCGTATGAACGTGTTATTGGCCGCCAAACATTTCCTTCTCGAGTTTTTCTACCATTTGTTTCATGAATTTTACTCTCGTCTGGTAACCCGGCCGCTTTTTTCCCTCCTCTTCCACTATTTGCTCCGAATATTTTTGGTGGTCGGCGCACATTGTTTTCTGGAGAGCGTATGCAGCAGCCTTGGTATCGAAGGCAGCAGACTTGCTTTCCTCTTCCTCGAGTTTCAGGCGCCACTCGGATTTCTCCGATCCGCCACGTGGCAGGAGCGGCTCAATATCTAAGAGTGCGGTTTTCATGGCAACGGACGTAGCCTCTGCCACGCTTTGCCCCCCCCCCCTCTTTTTCTGCTTGGTCCCACGCCTGTTCTGCTCCTCGAGCCTCGCGTCCTCCCGCTTGGTGGCCCCGCGGCGCTCGGCACCGCCGGTGCAGATATTGCCCTCTCCGGTCCCGTCGTCCTCTCGCTGAGCGCCCTCCGGGAGGAGATTGTTGCACACTTGGTGAAGCTCGGGGTATTTCTCGACGGCGCAACCGATAATGTACGTGTCCGTGTCCCCTGAAAAACAAAATGCGCAAAGCGCGGGCGGGAAGTGGTCTGTTTAAAGCCAACAGGTATGGTATTTGGTCTTGCTTCAAAACACACGTTAAGAGTTCATGGTGCAGACTAAACGTTTCAATCAGGCCTCAATGTCGACGTCATCCCGGGAGTACGTTTTGCAATACAACACTGTTGACAACTCCAAGTACAACATCAAAACTCCGACCGTAGCAGCACTTGCACGCTGAAGTAGGATGGGCGGAATTGACGCCACGGCCACAAAATCGCCCCAAGGTTCCTGGAGAAAACAGACGCTATTTTATACCCAGCCCCACCTCACCCACCCCTTACCTTGGCAAAATGCAAGCCATGGCTGGTTGTTGCCGGATTCACCCTTCCAGTTGGCATAAGACGGGTTCCACCTCCCCTTTCCCACAGCCCACATCTTGGTAAGCTTTTCCGACGAGATGTTTGGTTGCTGGATGATGTTCGGGTCGACGTGATTCACTTGTTCGTCGTCCACGATTTTTCTCACCTGAAAAACGTCCACATTACCCATAGGTCAGGCATACAGCGAAGGAGCGAGGGAAGGGGAAACGTAGATCATACACGTGTTCTTTAAACGTACCTACAATGATGCCGCCCCCCGACGTGCGAGGAATTGACCTCGACTTCGATACGAAAAAAACAAAGAACGGGGAATGCACCTCTCGCGCGGGAAGGACCGATGTCGGCCTGATCCCGGCCTGTTATTTCTTCTGTCATACTCCTATTATATAATAGTATTGTCTGGCTATCTGTGCATTCGTTTGAAACAGTTCGGCGCGTTTTCTTACGTCTTCCACTCTAGGCTGACGAAGCAACTGCAGCAATATGGTCGTCCGCGTCAGCAACAACAACGTAGCTACCGGTAGACGTCAACAACAGCAGGTTTATTGCCTTAAACGATGGCGATCGTCAATGGACGTTATTATGAGGTGATGAGTACCATGGCTAAAATATCCATAAATAAACGGCATACGACTTTCGACTGCTGTCTTTTGTACAACGTTCTCGGCCGATCCGTGCTCATCAACCCCCTACCCCCAGCACGTACCTTGTGGTCAGGGTCTCGGAAGCGGTCGGTGACCTCTGTCCACAAATCGTTCCGCGGCCCGACTGTTGAGGTGTCCAGCTCCTGCCGGGTCGCCTGGAAGCGGCTATCGATGAGAAGTGGGCGGATAAAGTCTTCGCACAGGATCCCAACGAGCCGCATCATGCAGTGTGGGCCCTTGCGCTCCGTGTTGCTGCCACTCCCTCCGGCGGAACCACCCCCGTCCGATCCGACTGCACCACCCGTCGATGAACTACCAGTGGGAGCACTCCCGCCGGCAGAATCCCCGAAATCCCCAAGTTCCTCTTCGTCTTCCTTGTCCATGGCGTCGTAAAGGTCCGCCGCGCTGTAGTCCACACCCTCGAATGTAAACGGCTCAGTACTGTCACGTGCTACGGCGACCATCTTGACAACGCCTCGAAACATAAGCAGTGCTTTCGCAGGGATGGCTCCCTCGTCCTCCCCCTCCTCCTGCTCGCTGCCGCGTCCAGATTTGCCTGCGCAGACGTTGGGGATATGAGAAAGCGGCCCAGACAATGAGTAAGACTTCGCATGAGAGGAAGCCTCAGGTGTACACGCCCAACCGGAGCAAAACTACATGTACGTTCCTAACGACTGTCCTCCATAAAACATCGTTTACCTTGCCTTACTTCCTCTGGGCGTGAGAGGACAGAATACCCAAAGCTTAAGCGTATTGGTCGGTGCACCACCGATTGAATATCATCAAGAAAGCATGCCGTGTGGTACGCTGTGAGTGCCTTCAACATCCAACCTACTGGGGCAAATATTAAAACAGCTCTCGAGCATGCCGTACCTTCTGCTGTACGAACAGTTAGATTGGAAGCGGGCACTACACACACAGCAGTAATTTTGTGTTTTCCTTTGCGCACACTGCGTTTAACTGCAGCATATCTACCTACCTATACTTGGTCAATACGCTGTGCCGTCTGCTGTGACTCTAATCGACGACGAATGTACACAATACCAGCATCTCACCGGCTGCGATAGCATCGAGGTCGTCGAAGTACGGAGATGGCCGTTTCATGTTGCTGTCGAGAGATCGCAGGGCCGCCACCAGGACATCTTCCTGTTCTGCTGCGACATGCTCGGAATCTTGCGGTGCGTGCATGTCCTCTTCAGAAAGTGTGTGGCCCAGCGCGGGTAGTCCTTGCCCCGGGCTTTTTTGGCACTCGCGTGATGAGTTGCTGCTGTTTTGTTCTTCCCTGCGACGCTGCCGCCGGTGCTCGCCTTCCGCTTGCCGTGGTTTTTGGTCCTCGTGCCCGCTCCCCCTCCCCCGGTCACTGCTTCCCGTATTTCCTTTTCGAACACGACATCTCCGGACTGCGAGCCAATGTCCGACTGAGCTGAACTGTCCTCAACCGACGCATTGCTGCTGCCACTTGACGTCGGGCTGCCCCCCCCCTCGTTGTCGACGCCGCTCTCCGACTCGCTCCAATTGTTTTGTGGGGCGTCGCCAAATTGCTTGTCGTTGAGAACCTTTGCTACGGCCGCCTGATGACCTCGCAGAGCAGCGTCGTCCGAGAACCCCGGCACTATCCCCGCGCCAGGTGGCACCCCCTGTTGTGTACCGGTATGGGGGATAACCCTGCTGTGAACGGGCTGGCGGGCAATGCCGCTCGGTTCCTGCCGTGCGGCGCCAGCAGGCGCGGTCTGGGCGACCCCATGCCCAGCAGCAGCACCACTTTCACCTGCATGCTGCAGTCTCAGAGGCACCGATTTCGCTCTAGATGGCCGGCCTTCCGCTGCTACGGCGTTGTTGTTCATGGTGTGGGTTTATCGCGTCTGCTGTGGTATGCCTTGGGCCTCTCGCCTTGTCGTGACCGGTGTGTGTACGTCGGCATCAACGCTTTCCGGGATTTTTTGAAAAAATGGCGAGCCTCTGCCGATAAGAACCAATGGAAATCCCGGAACCGGTTCGTTCGGTGAAAAAAGTTACGAATCGATGAAAACAAAAACGATTTGTTGCGGCCTGATAACAATAGCGAGGTGACCTCACGCGCACCCGAAAAAAACGTCAGTCTTCGACCGGCATATCGCTATATATCACTATGCCCATCCATGCGCGTGCACTTTTTTGTGGCGAGGGACTCCATACTTTTAAGAATCATCTCGTTGCTCTGTTTTGTTCCTTTACATACATGTAGTGCGCACGTCACACCCGAATGAAAAAGGAAACCACACCCAGAACGCGCTATTCCGCACGCAAGGAAAGAATCCGGGACTAAATGAATGCGGACCCCAGAAGATGCGCTTTTCACAGTAATGTAGGTTTCCTCTCCGAAACGAAAGAACCGGACGGGAGAGAGGGGAAAAAAAAAGAGAAGAGGCGTAGGACGCGTTCCCCGTCATGGACATTTAATAAGAGTCGTATTGTGGTAGTGGAAGGAACCTCTCTCTGCGATCAGGTCAGAAGACCACCAGTCCCCAGAGCTCATCTGTTGCACCCACCCATGGACGCAGCAGTAGTAGCGCATGTCCTGTAATAGACCACTACTGCTGAAAATATTGGAGACCACGAATGATCTTGTCGAGTCCCATTGTCAAACATTTTACAAATCAAGTGCTCCATGGTGCTCCATGGAGCTCCATGGAAAAAGTGTAAAACATTTTACAGATCAAGTGCTCCATGGCGCTCCATGGTGCTCCATGGAGCTCCTTGGAAAAAGTGTGAAACATGTTACAAATCAAGTGCTCCATGGTGCTCCAAGGTGCTCCATGGAAAAAGTGTCAAACATTTTACAAATCAAGTGCTCCATGGTGCTCCATGGTGCTCCGTGGTGCTCCATGGAAAAAGTGTCAAACATTTTACAAATCAAATGCTCCATGGTGCTCCATGGTGCTCCATGGAGCTCCATTTAACTTTTTACAAATCAAGTGCTCCATGGTGCTCCATGGAGCTCTATGGAAAAAGTGTCAAACATTTTTCAAATCAAGTGCTCCATGGTGCTCCATGGAGCTCCTTGGAAAAAGTGTCAAACATTTTACAAATCAAGTGCTCCATGGTGCTCCATGGTGCTCCATGGAGCTCCATGGAAAAAGTGTAAAACATTCTACAAATCAAGTGCTCCATGGTGCTCCATGGTGCTCCATGGAAAAAGTGTCAAACATTTTACAAATCAAGTGCTCCATGGTGCTCCATGGTGCTCCATGGTGCTCCATGGAAAAAGTGTCAAACATTATACAAATCAAGTGCTCCATGGTGCTCCAACGTGCTCCAAGGTGCTCCATGGAAAAAGTGTCAAACATTTTACAAATCAAGTGCTCCATGGTGCTCCATGGTGCTCCATGGAAAACGTTTTAAACATTTTACACATCAAGTGCTCCATGGTGCTCCGTGGTGCTCCATGGAAAACAGTGTGAAACATTTTACAAATCAAGTGCTCCATGGTGCTCCATGGAGCTCTATGGAAAAAGTGTGAAACATTTTACAAATCAAGTGCTCCATGGTGCTCCATGGAGCTCCATGGAAAAAGTGTCAAACATTTTTCAAGTCAAGTGCTCCATGGTGCTCCATGGTGCTCCATGGAGCTCCTTGGAAAAAGTGTCAAACATTTTACAAATCAAGTGCTCCATGGTGCTCCAAGGTGCTCCATGGAGCTCCATGGAAAAAGCGTCAAACATTTTACAAATCAAGTGTTCCATGGTGCTCCATGGTGCTCCATGGTGCTCGATGGAAAACGTTTCGAACATTTTACACATCAAGTGCTCCATGGAAAAAGTGTGAAACATTTTACAAATCAAGTGCTCCATGGTGCTCCATGGTGCTCCATGGAAAAAGTGTGAAACATTTTACAAATAATCAAGTGCTCCATGGTGCTCCATGGTGCTCCATGGAGCTCCATGGAAAAAGTGTCAAATATTTTACAAATCAAGTGCTCCATGGTGCTCCATGGTGCTCCATGGAGCTCCCTGGAAAAAGTGTTAAACATTTTACAAATCAAGTGCTCCATGGTGCTCCATGGTGCTCCATGGTGCTCCATGGAAAAAGTGTCAAACATTTTACAAATGAAGTGCTCCATGGTGCTCCATGGAAAAAGTGTCAAACATTTTACAAATCAAGTGAGGTCAAGTCGGCAGCAGTGGTTTATCGTTTATCTTTTGTAGTGACATGCATACCATGTGCAGCATTTTTTGCGCTCATGCGTTGTGGCGTGTTCGTCTAGAAGTAAGTACAGCAACAGCCATTTTCTGCCAGCGGTCCTTGTGAGACAAAGTGTGGATTGTATTTGTCGGAATACGCCCCATCACCCCTCCGGCGTTGCCGACACCGAAATAGGCCTGACCAGGACGCGTGAAAAAACTGGTACGTGTTTACCTAGACCTACCGCTCTCTGCTCGCCTGCACTCGCCAGATTTCTGGGGTGCGACTCTGCTACAATGCAATATTTGACTGAGCGTCCCGCACCGTTGCCACTTCTTTTTTGCGCCATCAAGGCGAAATGCCGCTGCAGTCGGCGACCGCACCTCATAAAGCTAGAAGAAGATGAACAAAATTACGTTCCTCGCGTGACGGAGTAGATCACTGGTAGACGAAAGACCTTGCCGAGAGCAAGGGACGCAGCTGGCGCGAAAGCAGAGCTCGGCAACCAGGATACAGCGCGGAGAAATGGGTCACCAACTACCACTTTCAAGAACGAAATAGTGAAGGTGATGCCCCAACTATCAAAGGGTAACCAAACCTCTCCCCGAAAGCCAAAATCGATTCAGGCAACCCCTTTGATTTCCTTCCTACAACAGAACGAGGTTGCACGATCACATCTTAGTGTCATTCTCCGCTTATATCAGTAAGAAGGAACGCCTTTTCTGAGGTGTCCCATCAGTGCTTGCGAAACGAAGTGGCAGATCGGGGCACCAGAAAGAAAAAACAAAGTTGTACAGCAGCAAAGTTGCCGTGTGTTTTTTACCCAGCTGACCTCCCCCCGATCGCCCTTCTCACATATTTTTGCGATGGTAAAAAATGCCGCAGGTTGACGGAGCGGTGGGGGGATATCTCGCAGCATGAGGGAGGGATGAGAGCGAGCAGGAATTGCGTGGGGGGATACAAGGGGGGCTTGTTGTTCTAGGGGTGATCCAGATGGCGTGCCTGCATGATGGCGAAATATTTTCTGGGACGCATTTGTTTAGCACAACTTCAACGTGCTTTCGATACGTTCGGGTTTTGGCGTCCCTCGCATTCTTACTTGGTTATGCATGTCGGTGTGGTTCCTGGAAGGCCCACGCACATGGCCATTGCTGGTTTGAAAGGACGGCGGGGACGGTACGGTGGCAACTACGCCTTTTTTTTTCTTGTTCCTCGCCACTCGTAAAATGGTAGCGTGTGTACTTGTTTTCAAAGACGAAGCAAGGCATTCGTAATTTGCGTTGTCGTGCTATACGCAATAAATATTTGTAGGCAAAGGTTCTCTTCAGGAACCAAGCATTGCGTGAGATTTGAATGGCACCTTGCTGACATAGGTGCAAATATTTTTGTGGCATGCGTTCGTACTGGGGGTAACAGGAAAGAGAGCTGAGCCGATGCTCCAAAATACACTTCTGCCTGACACCCCATGCCCGGCATTTTTTTATTTTTTCGTTTAGTAGCACGCTTGACGAAGGGCCAGTCAGCGTGGCGACGTGTGTGGTTCCTTGTGTATGTCGTTTTCACGTGGACTCCTTCTTTGGGGCGATCTGCCACGTGCGTGATTTTCAGGAAGAGAATGGAGATCGCACTAGTCATGCTGCGGTGGTCATGGTATGCTGCACTTTCCTTGAAGAGTCAAACGCATTCTTCCACGTGAATAAGATCCCCAACATTTGGTTGTTCGTGGTGTGTAAACTACAAACGCCACCTCCCCACAGGAGCTTGATCTATTTCGTGCGGTCTAGCACGTCACTTGCCGTACAGAACACCCCCCTCCATGATAATCTCCCCCCAAAAAAACTCGCCGAAGCTCAAAACTTTGAGTTCGCCCTGGGGCATTATAGTTTTTTTCTTACGCGGTTGGCCAATGCCCGAGGCATTTCTCCCGGCATCTTCATCGTTTCATTCACCTCCGTAGGGTGGCAGTCCTCATTCCGCAACAATAACCCCTTCAACCATAAATTTAGTGTGGGGGGTGTGCTATCACG